AGGGTGCCAGCTACCAGGCGGCAACCATCCTCGTACCGCTGCTGAAGCCGACCCGTACGCGCGACGAAATCACACATCACATATATATATATATATATATATATATTACATGTTTTTCTACAAGATTATACATCATTTTCTTTTCCACCTATGAGAAAACTCTTCCTCCATCGATAAAATAATAAAAGTATCAATTTCACCTAGGGATATCAATCGGGTCGGTCGAATCCGAACCCACACTCGATTCGAGAGTTTTGGATTTGGGTTTGATCCGGTCCAATTTTTTTTGGGTCTAAGTAATTAAACCCAAAACTTGATCCTGTATATACCGGACCAGATCGGATCGAACCGGCCCACATAAATCCTTTGTAAATTTCATTTTTTTTTCTTTTTTTTTAATATTGGACTTTCGGACCGATTTGACTCGAACCGAAATCCGATTCGAATCCGACCTGAAAACCTGATTTTTTTGGGACCAAAAAATTTAGGTCCGAAATTCGCTAATTTTCGGATCGGACTTCGGATCTCGAACCCAAATTGACACCTCTAATTGCACCCAAGATTGGCCGCTTCAAACTCATAAAGGATGGATCAAATTTATTTTCAATCCATATTCAAACTTCTATTTAGAAAGAAAGAAAAAATATTCACCTAGAATTCTCCAATTTTCTAAAAAAATATAGTTAAAATGAAAACACAAAAATATTAATTTTGAATATAATAATAATTTTTAAATTCTAATTCAAATTATGATTTGAAATTATCTATAATTAAATTTGGATTTGAATTTCGCAATTTTATAATCGAAATATAACTACAAAAATATTATTTTATATTTATTCAAAATTTAAAAATATTGTAAATCTTTTATAAAATTTAAATTATTATATTTGATTTTTAAAAAATTATTACAAAATTCTAATATTTTTTAAAATAAATAAAATTATCTTTATTCGTTTATAAAATTCTAATTCAAAGAAATATCACAAATTAAAGAAAAAAAATTGAGTTTCACATATTAAAATCTAAGAATATTTTACATACTAGATCTTGGGATGCTTATACTCTACTCGTATGATCGTATCTACCTCCAACTATTTAGGGAATCAAATACTTCAAAATAACATGTAATCAGATTTCAAATTATTTATAAAATACAAATATTAAATGGTTTTATTATGTTATTTAAGAATATTAAGACGTAAAATGTAAAAAAAAATATTTGAGATAATAAATGATTTGATAATGTTATTTAACAATTATACTACACAAATATTAAAATGTAAAAAGATTCCAGATGTTTATGTTATTCGAAATTAAGTCTTTTATTTATAGTCAATGATTCATCAAATAAACTTTTTAATTTATAATTTTTTCCATCAAAACCTATTTTTCCCTGTCAGTTGTCAACACTTGATGTTCTTATCCCCTGTTTGTTATTTTCTCTGCTTGCACAATTATCACTTTCACGGAAACTAAGGCTGTTTCTGAGAAACTTCATAGAGAAACCTCTTATATAAACCCTACCCCCCTAAACCCAGAAATCACATACTCCAGAGTTTGCTTAGTTGTTGTCTAAATCTAATTTATATCTTTGGGTCTTCAGTTATGGACAGAAATATTCTCGCGACTAAAGACAGGCCAAGCAACAAGAAGAACGTGGTCGGAAAGAGAAGGAAGAACAATAAAGAAGATCTCAAAGTTGTTTACATCTCCAGCCCTATAAAGGTGAAGACAAGTGCGTCCGAGTTTCGAGCCCTCGTTCAAGAGCTCACCGGAAAAGATTCCGACATCGCCGATTCCCACTTCGAAGATCACCTCCATCGTGATTTTTCTCCGACCAAATCGGTTTCCGATCGCCGGAGAGACTTAGAAGAAGAATATTTTCTGGCGACGCTAAGGGGTTCCGTCGAAAACGACGGAGACTCGCCGAGTTGCTCGGATCACCGTAATCTTCAGATGGAGGACAGCTTCGTAGAGACGATGTTGTCTTCTGTTTTGTTCAACGAGTATGCTTTGGGTTATGGTGTAAACACATAATCGGTTTAGTCTAAACCGGAGCTCTAAAAGGTTATCTGAGCGGTAACCGGTTGTTATAGTCGGTGATCGACCTTTTCTTCATACCAGGTTATACTTTAGATATTACTTGAAGAGGTGAGGAGAAAAACCTATATAAAATTGAGGTGGGTGTACATAGGGGCAATACTCGGATGCATTATTGTTCACTTGATGATGGATATATAATTATGAACCTAAATGAGTCTTATTGGCATCGGAGAGTGTAAGCAATCGAGTAAATAAAACGTGTACCCGCCGCAATGATCTTTTTTTGTCAGCGACCGGAATCGGAAACACGATTTCATGATCCAAAAATGCCCTTCAAAGGAATTTGGTGAATCATGCATCCTTCTGTTATGACGTTGTGGGAGGTTTCGATATAGATGCCTGACCAAAGGGACACAACATATCCCAATAGTCGTGTCTCATATACAGGTGCCCCTTTTCACGGGGTGTTACAATCACCATCTCCCACTCGTCCGTGAAGGACATTGGTTTTGCCAATTTTGAATTCATACTAGCACAATGGAGAGTGATTGCGTTGTCCATAGCATACCAAAAAAAAAAGTCTACGAGTACCGTACCCGTTCCCATAGAATTTCGAATGAATCACCTGACTTCAAGTACTTCAACGTCATTATAAGAACAGGAAACACCCTTTGATTATCCAAATACCTTTCAATAGTGTGCCTAGCAAAGGGACGCGAAAGATGAGTGGGATCTTCTTCACATCTAGAGAGAGCTAGCCAGCTCGATTTTGTCGAGCAAAAGTTGAGGAATGGTTTGGTTTGGTCTGGTCAGGTCATAGCCGCGGAAGTCTCGAGATCACATCAGCCATCGACGCTGATGAAAAGCTCACCAGTGGGCATTAAAACTCGGAGGCTCGACCCATCAGAAGTTGAAGCAGTAGAAGAAGAAGAGAAGCTCAGGATTAGAGACCGGGTTAGGGTTACCTTCCATTTCCTACCAATGGGAAAGCTCACTCCTTCCCAAAAGCTTACGAGATAGAAAGCTGAAAACTACTATCCCTCTTCAGGGTTTTGGATTGAAAAGACAAAAACAAATTAGGAATAAGGTTTGTCCAACCATTTAATTGGTTTTCTCTTGGAACCAATTGCTACGCAGGTCCAAAAACGACAAAGAAAGAACCAAAAAAAAAACTAAAGGAATTATAAAAACATATTACCTATATTTCATCAACTCCATGATACTCTCTAGATTAGGAGATTCAGAAGAAGAAAAAATTGAACGAACAATGAAGGAAGCCCCATTTCGAGAAAAAAAAAGAAGAGAAAAACTAAAATAGTTTTGACCATCTGCTTGAAGTTTTTTTTCTCTTGTAAGTCTTATTATTTATCTTGCTTTTTTTTTGTTTTTTTTTTTTAAATTTGATCTTGAGTTATGCACACTTTGAATTCAATCTTCATCAGCAATTACCTCTCCTTTGGCAATCTTATGCTGAAGCCATTTACAGAAGCCTTCTTCCAAAGCATCTTTCATCCACGCGTGCCGGCAACTCTCTACCGCTCCCGGTATCGTTAACCATGCTCGAGTTCTCGTTTCTTGTTCAGGCCACGACTCCAGCTCTTCCTTCACGTACAATGCATACATTGAAGCTTTACATATACCTTCAGGGCTAAATTCATCTTGGTGAGTCTTGCTCTTGAACTGGTAATCTCCCAAGAAATCCTGCAAATTCGTCCGATGCCCGTGAATTTGGTCCACGGCAAAAAAAAAAAATGAAAGATCGAAAAAGTGGGAGGGAGAAGAGTTTTACCATTAGAATCCCTCGAACTCCGGCTTCTTCAACGGCTTCCCTGGCTGCGGCCTCCTCCACTGTTTCATCATTCTCCCAGCCTCCCTATAAGAGAATCCAAGAATCAATTATGTTACTTTGTTGGAAAAGGAAGAGGAAGGTGGAAGTGGATACAACTCTATGATCCAGCAAAAGCTCAGTTTTTTATACCTTGGGAAACAAAAGACCGGGTCCGCTAGGTGAGCTGATCATCAACACTTCAACGACTTTCTCAGAATTGTAATCACCACCATCATCGGAATTTCTATATCTAAATGGAATACATCTGTCACATCCCACAACATTCCAATTATTCAGCCGGGTATGATATGCCATCTCAAGAAACAGAAAACTGTAACTAATGATCAGTCAATATTAAGATCAATTCGTGACCGTAAAACGAAGTTTACATGCTTCCCAAACAACTAAACCAGGTTGAACATGTCATCGAGCACAAGTAATACAAGAAACAATGAATCTTGATTTGAAATCATATATGAATTCACGCCCACGAGCAATGAATACCCCCACCTATGGCATTCCTTCTCAG